GCTCTCACAGTCTTCAACTACTGACTCTTCAAGTGGGAGGTGAGAGATATTCAGGCATTGGGCTCCCATTCACCTCACTCTTCAAGTGGTTGCCAACTCTCTGGGATTGGCCTGGTATCTCTCTGTGTCGGAGATAAATCTGCAGAAGACCAGTGCAAGAAACTCCAGTGTAAAAAACATGGTGCTTAAGGTGGGGTTCAAAATGCTGCGGGCTTTACAACAATATTTAGAAACATTTTCATCTATTCATGGGTCAAAGTAATGGAAATGGAGCATTAAAAGGCAACTAAGATTAATGTTCAGTTTAACTCTTTATCAGTTCTGAAATATTAACTCTATTTCTCTCTCCACAGATGCTGCTGAGTTTCTCCAGCAATTTCTGCTTATGCTTTAAAAAAAACCCATCTGGTTCACCAGGGAAGGAAATCAACCACCTTTACCCAGTCTGCTCTACATGTGACTGGAGGATCCACAGAAATGCGGTTGACTTTTAACGATTTGGGATGGGCAATGAATGCTAGCCCAGCCAATGATGCCCACATCCCATGATCAAATCTAACAAAATTTGTAGCAACAAGCAGTGACAATATGTTAAAAACTGAAACAGAAGTTGCTGGAAAGGCTCAGCAGGTCTGGCAGCATCTGTGGAGAGAAATCAGAGTTAACGTTTCAGTTCGAATGACCCTCAGAACTGATGGTGACTTGAAAAATGTTGATTTTTATGCAGAAGATTGAGTGGGGGGAGAAATGAGTAAATGATAGTTGGGGATGGAACCCAAACAGAAAGAAGAACAGTGGATATACAATGGAGTGGATAATGATATGACTAGGAGGGTGAATAGCTATTAAGGGAGACTGATGGTGGCTAACAATGGGTTGTGTGTAACAGCTGACTATGTGTTCTGAGGAGAGGTCACTGAACCCAAAACGTTAACTCTGATTTCTCTTCACAGATGCTGCCAGACCTGCTGAGCTTTTCCAGCAATTTTTGTTTTTGTTTCTGATTTACAGCATCTGCAGTTCTTTCGATTCTTATGTGATAACAAGGCCTGGGCGTGGGGGCAAATTACTGAAGATGCTGGAATCTGTACTGAAAACAACAAATGCTGGAGATCACAGCGAGTCAGGTAGTATCCATGGAGAGAAAGCAAGCTAACATTTCGAATCTAGGTGACTCTTCATCATAGCATTGTTGGTCTACTGGTGTGTGGGGATTGGGGTAAGGACATGGGAGAGCTCAAGCCCTAAAATTATTGAACTCAATATTGACTCCAGAGGGCTGCAGGGTCCCCAAGTGGAAAATAAAGTGCTGTTCTTCCAACTTGCGCTGAGTTTTAACAATAAATTAAACATGTTTGTGGGCACTAGTGTGTTGGATCACCAGAAATAACTCTTCAAAATACCCCTGCTGAATCTTTCACAAACGTCAAATCTACTTTGGGATTATATTCATTGGAATTCAGAAGATTGAGGGGTGATCTTATAGAAACATATAAAATTATGAAGGGAATAGATAAGATGGAAGTAGAGAGGATGTTTCCACTGGCAGGTGAAGCTAGGACAAGAGGGCATAGCCTCAAGATTAGAGGGAGCAGATTTAGGACTGAATTGAGAAGGAATTTCTTCACCCAGAGGGTTGTTAATCTATGGAATTCCTTGCCCAGTGAAGTAGTTGACGCTACTTCAGTAAACGTTTTTAAAAAAAAGGTAGTTTTTTTTGAACAATAAGGGAATTAAGGGATACGGTGAGAACGCAGGTAAGTGGATCTCAGTCCACGAAAGGATCAGCCATGATCTTATTGAATGGCGGAGCAGGCTCGAAGGGCCAGACGGCCTACTCCTGCTCCTAGTTCTTATGTTCTTAACATTCCAGCTGAGAAGCATCAACTCTGACAACACAGTACCCCCTCAGTCCTGCACCTAGATCAATCATTTCGATTTGTAACAGAGAGGAACAAAAACAGAAGTTGCTGGAAAAGCTCAGCAGGTCTGGCAGCATCTGTGAAGGAGAAAACAGAGTTAACATTTCGGGTCTGCTGACCCTTCCTCCGAACTGCTGCCAGAACTGTAACAGAGAGGAACTTGAACCGATAACCTCCTCACTCATAGGCATAAATAGTTTCTTCCTCACAGCCATGGTCAGTATCAAATTGCTGGAGTGAGGAATTTAATACAAGTGTGCTAAGAGTCCAGAGAATAACATAGCTCTGCAGCTCCCAGTGGATCCCTGTCTGTGATCTTTGGAGAGTAGAATGAACTCATTAAAAATCTAATAAATATCATCTCCAATAGTAACATGTTTCTTAAGAGTCCGAAGCAGTCAATTCAACGAAAGTACAGGATTTGTTATTTTTGAGGTTGAATCATCACGCAGAAAAAAAACTCAGAAAAATGTATCCATGCAAATTGGAATTTCTCGTTGACTGCCAACAATACAAAAACATTTTATACCATGAACACCATGAAAATGACTATGACTCTGAGATATGCTTTTGGAAATAAATTGGAGGTGCTCAGGTGGACTAGGAGCACCACGCAGTGTACCTTTTAACAGAGAAAGTGAAACTCATTTTGAATTTCATTTAGATATCCAATTGAGCTCTGACAACCTCCAGTATTAAATCAGAGCCTGCACTCCTCTGTAAGATCAGAGCTGTAGACTGACAATGCAAAAGAGACAAATCCCATTATAAAGTCATTATACTGGTGTCAGTTTTCCAAGTGCCTGGCTCTTGACGGACAGATTCCAGGGGGGTGGGGGGAGGAGCGGGTGGCAGGTACAGAAATATTGAGAGGAACATCAAGTTTTGTCAACAAAATAAACAGATTGATGTGAGGGTCAAGCCTGGTGGGGTTACAGAGTATTGAGGGACTGAGTTCTGGATAGGCTAGGCTTGTTTCCACTGGAGATTAGTGTGGATACATCGGCACAGACTAGATGGACCAAAGGATCTTTTCAGTGCTGTATGACTGTTAGAAGAGTTGGGGTAGGGGGAGTGATTTCATTGAAATGTATAAAATCCTGAATGATCTTGACAAGGAGCTTGTTTCCTCTTGTAAAAACCGAAAGAACTGCAGATGCTGTAAATCAGAGGCTGGAAAAGCTCAGCAGGTCTGGCAGCATCTGTGGAGAGGAATCAGAGCTCTGAGGAAGGGTCACTCGACCTGAAACATTAATTTCTGATTTCACCCCATGGATACTGACAGACCTGCTGAGCTTTTCCAGCAACTTCTGCTTTTGCTTCTTCTTGTGGTTGCTTCCAGAGCTAGGGAACACTGTTTCAAAATCAGAAGTTGTCCTTTTAGGATAGAAATGAGGAGAAGTTATTTTCTCCCATGAGGTTAACTTAAAACGTTCTGCCTCCGAAGACAGTGCAGGTGGGTGATGGGGGGTTAGGGGGTGGGGAGCGGTCACTGAATATTTGTAAGATGGAGATGGATGGATTCCTGTGAGGCAAAGGAGTGAAAGATTATTGGGGTAGATGAGAATGTAGAATTCAAAACATAAACTGATCAACCATAACCATATCGAATGGGGGAGCAGGCTCGAGGGGCTGAATGGCCTACTTTTGCTCCTTATTTGTAATTTGTATGGCTCTCAACAGGCTCCGTCTTTGCTCTGTGGGTTCTCAGTTGAAGGATTTTGGGGTTAATCCCCAATCCAGGCGTTTGAATGCATATGATTCATGTTTTCCTGGATCAAACTTTATCCTCCAGTCAAAATCCCCCAAAAAACTACATCTGGTCGTTGCTGTATTGATTAAACAATATATAGTATTTGTTCAGGGATGTACTTGTCACTGACCTTCCCAGTTTTTGTTGCTCATCACTGACTGACCTGGAGAAAGTGGTGGTAAGTTCCATTCTTAATGCACTGCAGTCCCTAAGCTGTGGGGACACCTCCCAACAGCTTTGTTAGGAAATGAGTTGTAGACTGATGGCTTGTGGAATCTTTCTGTGCACAGATCAGCTGTGCTGTTTCTTATGTTACAGAATGTGGAGGTGCCGGTGTTGGACTGGAGTGAACAAGCAGAAAGTCACACAACAGCAGGTTATAGTCCAACAGGTTTGTTTGAAATCACAAGCTTCCAGAGCGCTGCTCCAAGTGACTACACCTGACAAAGGGGCAGCGCTCTGAAAGCTTGTGATTTCAAATAAACCTGTTGGACTATAACCTGGTGACGTGCCACTTATGACACCAGTCCGAAACCAGCACCTCCACATCATGATCGTATTGAATGGTGAAGCAGGCTCGAAGGGCTGAATGGTCTATTCCTGTTCCTAGCTTCTATGTTTCCATGTACAGAGCTCCTGATCATAGAATCCCTACAGTGTGGAAACAGACCCTTTGGCCCAACAAGTCCACACTGACTCTCAGAGCATCCCACCCAGACCTATCCGTCTATAACCCACCTAATCTACACGTCCCTGAACGTTATGGGCAACTTAGTATGGCCAATCCACCTAACCTGCACATCTTTTGGATGTGAAAGGTGCTACATAAATACAAGCTCTTCCCTTTTTAAGGCACGGCTGTTATACACCGTAGCAGTGTTTGTCAGCAAATTTGAATTCCCTATTTTAAAATGAAGGATGTAAAACTGGTCTCAGTTAAATGTGCTGGTTCAGTTTGGCCATAAGCTGTAAAGTATGATACAAGCCTAACCAACACGTGCAAACCCACAAACTGCAAATGCTCAATGCCCAAGCCCCAGCCCCTACTCCAATAACAGTATAGAAACGGGTTAGTTTCTCTCATTTCTCGGATTTTTCAGCTGTGCCTAAATGTGTCAGTGAGACAAGTGTCTGCATTTCTTCCTAAAATAAAATTGCACTCAGTTTCTCTCCCCGCTGTACCTGCCAAAACGTTGGCTATCTGGGTTTGGGCAGCTGCTGCGCACGAAGCGGCCGCGGGGAGGCAGTGTGGGGCCGTTCTCTGCCCAGTGCTTGTTGAAGGGGACGAGCTGACTGCTATGTGTGTGTGTGTTTGAGAGACTGAGGAACGCGGAAAGAGCAGACTTTGCAGTTTGTGTCTCACTCCCCTACGCCTGCCTCTTCCTACAATCCCACTCTCATTAACTGCACCCCATCATTTTCCAGGAGCGAGAGGAGGAGGAGGAGGAGGCTGTATAAATATATTTATGATATAAGTAACTGTTGCTGTCCTGGAGCAGGGGTCCCAGAGACAGGGCTGGCTATAAAGGGTACTGCTAGCAAGGCAAGTTCTCGCTTGAGAAAGGACTCTCCTGTTCGATTTGAGCATTGTTTCCAGCGCGTTTATTATGCCAACTGAGAAAGAACGAGTTTTCAGAGCACTTAAAGACTTAGTGCAAAAACCTGGGAATGGGATCTGTGCTGACTGCCAACTGCCAGGTATGTTCTGACCAGTCTCTCTGTATTGGCTACATTGGAAAGTTTGTGTGTGTGTGTGTGTGTGTGTAAGATAGATCCAAGAGAGCAACAGGTCATTGCTGACTCTATTAAAACAGATCTGTTCTTCCCTGCAACTTTACTGATTTTATTGATCATCCAGCTGGGTAATGAACTGGGAGGAAGTTGGTCGACTTCAACCGAGAGGCTCCTGAAGGGCTCAGGAGGAGAAATTGCAGAATTGTTCTACCACAGAAGCAGGCCATTCAGCCCATCTTGCCTGCACTGGCTCCTGGAGTATATTGACTGCCAAATTTGTGCCTTTTTGCCCCTTAAGTCCCTGCTCATTGTTTCAAACTAAATAATCATCTAATTCCCTCTCAAATGTCTCAGTTGAACCAGGTTCTGAGGAAGGGTCACCAGACTCAAAACGTTAACTCTGATTTCTGTCCACAGATCCTGCCAGACCTGCTGAGCTTTTCCAGCAATTTCTGTTTTTGTTTCTGATTTACAGCCTCCTTAGTTCTATCAGATTTCAATTGAACCAGCCACCACCCCCACTTCCAGGCAGTGAATCCCAATCCCAGGCCGCTCGCTGTCGGATACAACGTTTTCTGTCTCGTGCACACCTCAAATTTGCTTCTTTTGCAAAACACTTTAAATCTGTGGCCCTTCTGGTTTTCAATTAGTTTACAGTCAGAGAATTGCTGATGGCTGCATCAGAGCACATCAAGTTCCATGTGTGGAACTGATCAATGCCACTATAATACCAGGGGAGTGCTGCATCACCAGAGGCCTCAGTATCTGCACCGGGCCCCACTTTCCTCTCTCTCGTGTCTGTAAAAGATTTCTAGAGCACATGATTCAATGACAAGTAGAGCGCTTCTTTCAAATTGCCTGAGGTAATATTTATCCTTCAACCAGCTTTACCCTGGGTCCTGTTTTATATTCATTTACAGGGTGTGGGTAGTGCTAGATAGGCCAGCAGTCATTGCCCAAAGGGTAGTTAAGAGTCGACCACATTACTGGGGGTCTGGATCCACATGTAAACCAGACTGGTAAGCATGGCAGATCTCCTGTTATTAGTTAACCACACTGGGTCTTTTTTTTAGATTTGACAAGTAGATACAAGGTCTCCATTAGATCAGCTTTTACTTCATTCCAGATTTCTTTTGTTATTTTATTGAATTCAAATTTCACGACCTACCCTGGTGGGATTCAGACCCATGTGTCAGGGATATTAACCTGAGGTCCTGCATTACTAAACCACTGACATTGTCACTACACTACCGCCCCAGCTGCTGCTGCGTGTGGGATCTTGCAGTGCACAGATCATTGCTGCGTGTGGGATCTTGCAGTGCACGTCATTGCTGCGTGTGGGATCTTGCAGTGCACGTCATTGCTGCGTGTGGGATCTTGCAGTACGTAGATCATTGCTGCGTGTGGGATCTTGCATGCACAGGCCATTGCTGCGTGTGGGATCTTGCAGTGCACAGGCCATTGCTGGGTGTGGGATCTTGCAGTGCACAGGCCATTACTGGGTGTGGGATCTTGTAGTGCACAGTCATTGCTGGATGTAGGATCTTGTAGTACATGGTCATTGCTGGATGTGGGATCTTGCAGTGCACAGGTCATTACTGCGTGTGGGATCTTGCAGTGCACGGTCATTGCTGCATGTGGGATCTTACAGTGCACAAGTTGCGTGCTGCGCTTTCTGACCTCAGAACAGTGACTGCACTTTGAATTTTTCTTGTAAGTAAAGCACTTTGTTGTCAATCAGGGCCCACCTGGAGTCCCTGAGGCTGAGGGATGTTCTTTGGGGAGTTGTGTCATCCAGTGAGAGGGCCCAGGTCAGTGCCTGCAGCTCCCCCACACACTTGGAATCGGTAAAGGAGACCATACAGCCTGTCATCTCTGTGCTAGCCCTCTGAAGGGTCCATCCAATCGCTTGCTCTTTTGCTTTCTCCGTGTCAGGCATTTATCCATTGTCTTTTTTCAAAGTTCCCATTGAATTGCCTTCCACCGCCCTTTCAGGCAGAATGTTCCAGAACACAGCAACTCGTGACAGAAAAGTGCTTTTCCTCTTGGTACTTACGCCAGTGACCTTAAATCTGCTCCAACCAGTTTGCTAAAAGGAACAGGAGTAGGCCATTCTGCCCATCCAGCCTGCCCCTCCATCCAATATGATCATGGCTGATCGAACACTTCAATGACTTTTGCCTTCCCCATCCCCATAAAGCTGTACACTACTGGCAATCTGAAACATGTGGGCAACTGTTCTCCATATTTATTCCCTCAAAACCCCTCATACATTTAAAACTCTTCCATCGAATCTGCTCTGAACCTTCTCTTCTACACAGAGAGCAAGCCTAGAGTCTCTGGTCACTTTGTCCAGAGCTAAGGCTTACTGATATAGGAACAAGAGTAGGCCATTCAGCCCCTCATGCCTGTTGCATAATTCCATGAGATGATGGCTTATCTGAAGCCTAACTCCATATACCTGCCTTTGGCATATACCTTTGCTTAAAAAGTTATCTATTTCAGATTTAAAGTTAACAACTGAGGAAAGCTTAAAGCTACAGACAGCCTGGGAAAGAGCAAAAAACTCCCTTCTGTTACATCCCGGACTCAGTTCCCTTCAAGAGAGACAGAGAGAGAAAGAGAGAGAGACTGGGGAGACTGGGAGGCTAGAAAATAGCAGAAGTTCCGAACAAATACTTTGTGTCTGTCATTGCAATAGAAGTCACTAAAAGCATCCTAAAAGTGGGCAATCAGGAGGCAAAGGTAGGAGAAATTTTTAAACAGTCACCAACGCGAGAGAAAATGTTCTGACAGCTGACCAGTTCTCTAGTCTTGATAACCCGCAGCCTTGGGTCACTATAGGAATGGCTGCCCAGAGATACTGGGTCCAGTGGTTGTAACTTTACAAAATTTTAGATTCCAGAATGTTCCAGCAGTGTGGAAACAGCAAGTGAAACGTGACTGTATTTTTTAAATTCACTTGTGGAACATGGGCATGGCTGGCCGGGCCTGCATTTATTGCACAGCTCTAGCTGCCTTTGAAATGAGTAGATCGCTGGGTCATTTCAGTGGTCAACCATATTGCTGTGGGTCTGGAGTCACATGTAGGCCAGACCAGAGAAGGGCAGCAGTTTCCTTTCCTAAATAGTACTAGTGAACCAGATGGGTTTTTCCAACAATCGGCAATGAATTCCAGATTATTAATGAATTGAAATTCCACCATCTGCAATGGCAGGATTCAAACCCAGAAGAAAGGAGGAAGACAGAAAGCAGGAGTCTAACAGTTAGTATTAGGAAGATTCTAGAATCCTTTGTGAAGCAGGAAATATCAGGAAGTTTAGAAAATCATCGTACAGTCAGGCAGAGTCAACAGTCTCATTTGTGAAAGAGAAATTATGTTGAGAAATTTGATTGCTTTCTGAGGAAAGGCTAGACAGACTGGGTCTGTATCCTCTGGAGTTTAGAAGAGTTTAGACTTAAGTGAAACCTTTAAGATCCTGAAGGGAATTGACCAGGTGGATGTTGAAAGCTGTTTCCTTTGTGGAAGAATCTAGGATTTAGCGGTCATTGCTCAAAAATAAGGAGGTGCCCACTTGAGACAGAAATGAGGAAGTTTTTTTTGTCTCAGAGGGTTATGAGTCTTTGGAATTCCCTTTGTCAAAAGGCAATGTTTGCAGAATATTTAAATATTTTTAAGACAGAGGGAGATAGATTCTTGATTACCAAGTGGATGTAAGATTATTGCGGAATATGCAGGAGCTATAGGGAGGGGCTGAACAGGCTGGGGCTATTTTCCCTGGACCATCGGAGGACGAGGGGTGACCTTATAGAGGTTGATAAAATCATGAGGGGCATGGATAAGGTGAATAGCCAAGGTCTTTTCCCCAGGGCAGGGGAGTCCAAAACTAGAGGGCATAGCTTTAAGGCGAGAGGGGAAAGATGTAAAAGGACCCAAGGGGCAACTATTTCATGCAGAGGGTGGTGTGTATATGGAATGAGGTGCCAGGAGAAGATGGTGGAGGCTGGTACAATTACAACATTTGAAAGGAACCTGGATGGGTACGTGAATAAGAAGGGCTTAGAGGGATATGGGCCAAATGCTGGCAAATGGGACTAGATTGATTTAGGATATGTGGTCGGCATGAACAAGTTGGGCCGAAGGGTCTGTTTCCATACTGTACATTTCTAAGACTCTATGAATGTAGAGTTGAGGTTACAAATGAGATCAGCCATGACCTTATTGAATTGGGGAGCAGACTAGGTGGGCTGAGTGGCCTGCTCTTGCTCCTTGTGTTTGGCGTATTAAGGTTCTTAGAGGATAAAACAACAACGTCTCCATAAACGTTACCATTCGCACCATTAAAATGAAACTAAACTCAAAGCTGTAAACTTTTACAGTGAGCACATTCTGTAAAATGAAAACCTGTCAATAAAAGGGAATCAGTTGATGTAGTGCACCTGGATTTCAGAAAGGCATACAATAGGTTGTCACAGAAATGTACAATGCACAAGACTGGGGCTCATAATGCTGTGAATAATGTATTAGCGCGCATAGAGGATTGGCTAAATAACTGGCAACAGAACAACCAGATCAACAGGTCATTTTCAGGTTACCAAATGATAACCAGTGAAGTCCCACAGGGATCAGAACAAAGGCCACAGCTATTTGCAATTGGAATTAATGACTCAGATGTAGGGTTGGGTATACTGTCGCTGGATGTGCTGACAATGCAAAAATACAAGGAAAACAAGTTGTGGGGAGATCATAGACACACTGTAAAAGGTGATATTTAGGGTAAATAAGTGGGTAGACATTTGACAAAATATGAGGAAATGAGAGGTTGTCCCCTGTGGCAGGAAGAATGGAAGCACAGATACTGTCTACATGGAGAGGGGTTGGAGAAAAGAATAGCATCCCTGCAGAGTGGAAGCAGGCCATTCAGCCCATTGAGTCCACACTGAGCCTCTGAAGAGCATCCCAC